CTCTTCACTGCACTTCCAAACATGAAAACAAATTCATGCCATGCAAAACATGCGCTTCAAGCTCTGGCAAACAAACTGAAAACACTTCTGTTCTCGCTGCTGCAGGTGCCGGTTCTGTTCAAAGCAAAAACAACAACACTCCTAGGCAGATGCAACCATGCGAAGCAAGCGAAGCAATCTCCATCCACCACATCAACGGTGTCGAATCTTTCCATGGATGGCGTTTTGCACAGCCACCAAGACAAAAGAAATAGACCACTTCAGCGACACAGCAACCTCTGTCTCACTCGCCCCCACCGCGCGAGGTTGAGGTCGATGCACCTGGCCAGGGCGTGGCCACCAAGAGAGAGGAGACAGAGAGAGAGACTGGCAAGCAGGACTGCAAGTAAACCTCGCACGCCGTTCGGTGCTAGCGCAGCAGCTGCGTCTGTGCGGAAACCAGTGCAGGCCAATCCAGTGTGCGACGTCGAGGCCAGCTGGGCCAAGATGACACGCACTCTCTGTCTGCTTTGCGGTGCTCAACAAAAGCGATGCGTCCTGCTGAGCTCATCAGCCCACTCGTTCTTCTTCCTGCAAAGTGCTCCACTTGGAATTGCACGCGGTGCAAATGTGCCGAAGTCGCTGCGAGGAGGAAGTTCCTAAGTGCTGAAACTTGTTAATCGCCTGCGCTTGTGTCACTGGCGCTGGACAGGACGAACCGAATGTGCTTGCAGCGCAGTGCTTGTCACACGCATTGCCACCCAGCTGAGCCAGTGCTCTAAGACGAATTTACTTTCTTGTTGCCAAAGGTTTCGTTGCGGTGTGGGTCTGGGCTGCGCATCCAGCTGTGCAAACAAGGGCGACTCTGGGCACATCTGCTTTGCCCGAGATTCAGAGATCCCACTTCCAACGCACGGCCGTGCCGGAGCAGCCAGCTTAAAGCGGCACCATGAAAGGACGCAGATGCTTGCTGATGAGTGTTTGTAGCTGATCGCGAAGCTTGGCAAGCCAATGTGCATTGCTCTGCTGACTTTCTCATGCGCGCATCGCATCGCACAGACACAGCAACCTCTGCGGTGAAAAGAAGTGAGCGCTGCTACTTCTGTGTTGGTTTGCCTGCAGTAGTGCAAACCTAGAGAACCCCTTTGACCTTCTGGAAATTTTGCTGTTGCATGGTTTTGTTTTTTTGTGAAACTTCCACGTTTCATCCAAGAATTCTATCTGTATTTTGTGAAAATTTCGAGAGGAGATGATGTGTTCCGGCTTTTCCATCAAGCGTTTGTTTTTTTACAAAGAAAACAGTGATCTTGTTTGCATGTTTCGAGCAAAGGCTCCCCTTCCATGTTTCCAAAGAATTTGTTGTTTTGCTTTGTTTGGCTGTGGCAAGAAGTATGCCAGCTGCACGTCTTTGGCACATGTTCTCCAAGTTCTAGAAGCACCCAGAAAGTTCGAGGACAAAAAGTGACACTTATCAGTTGATATGTTTGTTTAAGATTTGTTGAAAACCGCTTGAGAGTTTCATTTGTGTAGTTTTGGATTGTTTTTGAAGCAAATGCAGAAAGGACATTTCAGCCTTTTTTTTGCCAGTTTTTTTGTTAATTTGCCAGGTCACAACACGTGACACAGTTGGTGGAAGCATGACATGTATAAGCACAGAAATCGTCAGGTCAGATGTTCCAGGCCAACATCGGAATCGCGATTGTTCTCCAGATGAAACCAAAACATCACGTGATCGTGCAATGGATGTTCAGTTTGATGTTGTTGTATAGGGCATTAAAGCCATTACCTGCTCATCGTGCAACGCATTTTGCCAAGGCGCATGCTGCGCTCAAGCGGCACAGCATGTTCTTATGCATATAAGGTCTGCATTTGGGTTTGTCATTACTTCGGGAGGTTGTCATGAAGTCGAAAATACATTCGTTTCCCGCATCTTCTTGCTGCACATGGGTCCCATGCCCCCATGCCGCAGAGCTGCCTTCGAGTGTCTGAGCGAGCCACATCTGTGTTGCAAACATGTTGTTGGGTTAGCCAATCAAGAGACAGTGGGGAAAGCTGAGGTGGAGAATGTTTGCCTCGTCCCGAACCACAATCGAACAGATGTGGGTCTCTGGGATGGTGTGATCGCGTGCCTCCGATGTGAGTTTGCCTGATGTGTTGTCATGTGGAGTTGCGCGATTTTCTGGCGAAACTAGCAAAATGAGTTCAGCTGAAATTTGTTGGGAAACTGCCCAGCTCGAGATCTTCCTGTCAGCGTCAGTACCGAGGGTGTTGTTGGCGGTGAATGTGTGTTCGTGAGACTTGATGGAGACAAGGGATTGTTATTGCAAATGGCTCATGATCCTCGAGACTGAGGTGGAATGCCACGAAGTTTCCAAGTCGCACAGCCTCCTTTCTCATCGTGACTTGACCCGAGCAGATGCCAACATGTGGTGCTAATTTTTCCCCTCCCCTGCAACTCAGGCAGCACCGACAGTTCATGACAAAGTTCGGACTGCGTTGCAAACCTCACCGGAATCGGAAGGCGCAGTGTGTGCCGCTTGACTTTAAGGTTGTACTGAATCAATGTCACTTTCCTTTGGTCTTAGATGAGAGGATTTCGGATGTGGAGGGCGGTGAACAAGGTAATGTGATCCGCTTATGCCGGGCCTATTCCCACTCGGTGTTTTCCCACGCGCACATCCGGCTCAACGTCGCCAAAACCCGTGTTTTGAATGCCGCCGGGATGCGCCCCGACGGGCTCCCGCCGCCGCCCACCCCCGCGTCGGACCATGTGCACATCTGGGTCGGCGACGCTAGCCTGCCCACATGCCAACAAGGCCTCAAGGTCCTGCGGGTCTCGCTCGGGACGGATGAGTTCGTTGCTGCGCAACTTCACACCCTTTCCGCGCAGCACCCGCGAGATAGCCCACCGCCTGCCAATCGTTTGCCCGCTCGGTGTTGTGCACCCCAGCCGCAGCCACTCCACTGCTGAAGCCACTGGTGTGTCCGCAGCGCAGCAGTGGAGCCTCACCCCTTGTAGCCAGCAGGACTGCAGGGACCACACTGGATCTTTTTCACGCTGTTTCAAGGGTGCGTGAGAAAAAAAATTGATGGACGAGGAAACCACCACCCCGCGACGTGACAGATGTGCCCACTTCGATGGGGCCGGATGGTTGCGTGTGCGCCAACAGGCCGAGTGTGAGCGCCGGTCATGGGCAACGTCCTTCGCACAACAATTCGGGGGAGCATTCCGAACAGCATGTTCGCCGTTCCAAAATGCACTGAGCACGCGCGGAGGCTCCGAAAGTGTCGTTTTCGCCGCGCAGTGCAAACACGGACCAAAGCTGACCCCGGACGACAGTGCTGAGCATCGACGACAACAAGCGCACAACCACATTGTCAGGCACATGCCCTTCGCTTGCTTCGCTTCCGTAAAACCTCGACGAACCAGCCACTGCGTTTACGGCGATGCCAAAGGTGTGTGTGCAAGAGTGCTGCAAAAACGCTCTCGGACAGCATGTCGCTCTTCTCGACCTCCCCTCCAAGTTTCGGCCGGGGGAAGGCTTGTACGCAGTCATGCACGACTTTTACATCACGTCCTGGCCAGAGCACACACTGCCAGCTTTGCGAGCCGCGCAGGCTTTAATGTCCAGCTGGTGCACCAAGGGAAAACTCGCGCCTGGAACGCGGCTGGACGTTGCCCTTGACGGAAGGGTGCGCGAACAGGACCTGCTCGTTCTGGGCAACCCGATAGCCGGGAGTTTGTTGCCAAGGTGAGAAGCACGAGGAGCCTGCCCGTGTCCAGGCCGTGCAAAACATTGCCAAACTCGTGGATCTATGTTGCGTTTGCACTGCAACTACCCGTTGCAAGCCGCTCACGGACGAGTTCGCTGCAGGTGGGCTCGCGCTGCCTAGCTATTATATTAGTGGGGGGCGACAAGGCCCATGACATCCTCCCGCCCGCTGACCTCATGCGACCCGTCTCGGATTGGAGGACGCAGCAGCGTCCGGTGGCCGTGAACGACGCCCCCTCGAAAGTGAGACGGGGGCGCCATTGTGGACAAGAGCACGTTCGAAATGCACTCACTGTTGCTGTTCCAAGGTAGCACAGGTGCTAGCTGCGCGCACCCGGTCCTACCTGCCGGGTCGGACTCGAAGTGCCCAGAATACAGCCGCTGGCACCCAAGCGATGTCGATGCGGGCGCCACCTAGACCGACCTGGGTGACCACCGGTCAGCTTTTGCCCGAATAAGAGTCCTAGCACACAAAGCTGGGTTTGGAGCGCCGCAGCTCGCATCTGCAAGGAAACCAACCGGCGCCAGGTCACCACAAATGTCCCTGTGCAAGAGTTGTGTTGACGTCCCACCCAACTGACGGCCGGAGGATCGAGGTTGTCGCCAATGGTGGTCCGATCTCGCAGGCAGGCCGTGCAATCCACTGGATGGCACGCGGGGCTTGTTGAGCTGCTTTGCAAAGTACTCTTGCTGCCAGGCTCCTCGGAGGGAGCCCGAGCGGGCTGCATTAGACAAGTAACAGGCGTTCGGCCACAGGTGCATAGCTGTGCCATATGCCGGAGGAGCAGGCCCGCTTGTACACTCGCGTTTTGCCGACATTCGCGGCAACGCCCGCCCGTGTCTCGATAGAGGGGGTGGCCCACGCTCGCATGTGCCGGTGTGGAGACGAGCGTTATTTTTGCTTCCAAGGTCGGCCAATGTGTTGGGTGCATGGCCTTCGCGCAGGGGCTGCGTGAGTGGTATGCTGTTCGGGTGGGATGCCTGGCTGCCGGGGATCGCGTCTGCTGAGCCAGTCTCTGACATGCAGATAGCAAATCCTCGCCCATCCAGTGCGTGTGCCTACCGAGTCCGGTTGCGGTAGGCTAGGACTGATGACGGCCATAGTTCAGGAGAAATGAGGCGGATCGTTTTTTTTTTTCACGCGACTTTTTCCTCGCCAGTGTCTGCTTCGCGGCTACACGATCTAACAGGCGTCCAGCTCCTACGCCAGCCGGCTAGGGCC